ACACACACACACACACACACACAGTATTGTCTTTGCTGTCAATTGGACGCCACTGATTTTAACATTTTAAGTAAGAGCTGGAACCAGTGTGGTGAAAAATGACAGGAGAGAGCATTCAGTCCCTCGGAGTGTGGTGGTGGTCTCTTCCATGCCTTCTAGCGCTTCACACCTATTGGTAACTGACCCTCCATATGCAGAGGTAGGTTAGAATTCCAGCTCCCAATAAAACTGAAATAACAGCTCCAGCAATCAGTCCGCGATTTGGGGGCGCTGTAAGGGAAAAAAATGGAAGCAAAAAGAAAGCTTGGTCATACTCGTGCATTGCCTGGGGCACATGAAGGAAGTTATTTTACAGGAATCCAGACCTGAGTACCACCCTGGATATTCATAAGAAGTGTCTCACTGTACCTCTGAGAAAAACTGTACCTCTTTGTGTGGCACAACTGTCTAAATCTGACTGGATAAGGGGAAGGTCTAGGAATGCAGCATAACACCATGAAACAGTGATGCTATATTGTTGGAGAATAGGGACATTCACAGCTGTTGTGACAGTACAGTGGTACACACTTAAGGGACACGGGCCAAAAGCAGTTCTTTTGCCTCACAGAGCCTTACTTGTAGCTCCCAGATGTCCTCCCTCCCCCTTGTAACACATTACAGCAATGGAAGTATCAAAGAAAAGACTGGATGTGCTCACTGCTAACAGCAATGGTCACAACATTGCTGGTTATGGTATCTGTGGTCCGGTGGAAGTTCCTGAACCTTCCAAAGCAGGCATATTTCCCAGGAGGTATCGGAGCCCATAGCTTTACCAATATTGCTTCCCCAGACTGAACCAACTTGTAATCAATTATCCGATATTTGCTTAACTCCATTATACGAATCTCCACCTGGGGGGGGGAAACAGTTAAAATCATTGTTAGGCATCACTACAGGAAATGATTTTGCCATATTGCATTCAAATTCAATATTTTGGTAGATTTAGAAAAGCATATTGGATATAGCTAATACCTTACTATCACCAAGCCAAGGTGCACTTAATGTGCAGATCATCTCAAGCGAAGTGTCATTATAGATGGAGATATAAGACGTGTGCTCATAACCAGTGACTAAAAACCTTGGAGGTGGAACAAAATCTGCAGCAAAGGGAATGAGGACAAGAAGGAATTTAATGACCCATCACTCGACAGAGATTCAGGTAAGTTTTAATTCAACTGTGAGAAGCACTGGAATCAGCATGGACCAGCAACCTTGTGGAAATCTTTCAAGATAATGATGCTGAGGTCATTCTCCAATGTTTTGAGGCTGCTTTGAGGGCAAACAGGGATGTAACACAATGGCAGAATGGTGTCCATAACACATTACACACTCCGTGTATTTTGCCAGTGTTTTAGTGGATGGCAGTGCGCTGAGTGGTATTAAGAAATGTAAAAAAAAACAGCAACAGAAAGCATTAACACCATACCTGAACAGATGACCTCCAGCTGGTCATTATTGTAACAATCAATCTTGTTAAGCAAACACTCCCGTAGCCGTAGTTCATTGCCAGTGCACTGCAGGGGCCCCACCAGTGATTGCTGTGCGGGCAACCCAAACTCGTTCATCCACACTTTGCTCACGCCGGATACGGTACCACAGCCCAGCTCCCTGCAGGTCACATTGGCCATATTCCACATGGCAGCGATGGCGTCTTCTCCATGGCAAACAGGACCCCAGCGGCCCTGAATGAACATCTCCAGGCGGCCTGCACACTTCAGCCCCTGGAATTGGGGGACGAGGCGCACAGGAGCCATTTCTGTTAAGGTGGCAAAGGGATGTTCGGCTGTTCAGACTCTGAGAATCTCACGCCTGGTCACTGGGAGCTAAGCACGAGGCTGTCACTAATAGTGCGCCTACCCTACCAACTGTCAATAAGCTATATTCTGGTTTGGTCCATCTCAGATCTCTGTCATGGACCTGAATATACTTAATCTATAACCAATTTATTATGCTGCCATAATTAAGTTTCACCAGGGCTATTTCCTACTGCATATCTGTGTCTTATAACCTATCAACATATTACTTGGCACTCTGTGTATGTTCATGGGTGCACTCTGTTCTTGCTGCTGTATGTACCAGAATTTCCCCCTGGGATCAATAAAGTCCATCTTAATATAAGAATAGTGATACTTTAATGATCCCTATGGGGAAATTCTCGTTTCGCCCACCCCATCATGCTCTCCATGAGACACACAGACACATATACAGGTGAGAACAAGCTTGGGTTCACAGTGCAGGGTCTGTCAGGGTACAGTGCCGCTGTTTAAAACAGGAAGGAGTGCGCTGCTTGTGAGTAGTAAATGTCATTAACTGACAGTAATTTTGCTTAGTAAAATGTATAACATTGTACATTTTCCCAATGCTAAGTTTAATTTCCCATATTTCCACCTCTCACCTGGCGTGACTCTCACAGCAGGGGACAGAGGAGACCTGTAGGTACGATGGTTGTAGTCGGCTTCCAGGTCACAGAAATATTCCAGCCTCTCCTGTGGAGGTACTTTCAGCCTGCTGTACTGGACGCCGCTGGTGTTTGCTGTCAGGGACCCAATTGGCATCCCTGGTGCTTCGCTGGCCGTGTCTGTAATGTTACGGGAGTATAGTCTGAAGGTGGTATTGTACACCACATAAGGAGCATCACAGAAGATGGTGTAGTTTCCTTCAGTGAAAACGACAGCAGGCTCCAGTCTGGTTGTGGGCTGAGGTAGAGAGGCTGGAAGCAAGAGAAAGAGAGAACATTTAATTTGTGTGAGAGAGCAAACAGAATTTTGACTTAAGGAGAAGAAGCAGCAAAAAATACTATTGGGAAGAATGTGTTATAGTGTTCCTCTATTGTCGTTTAGTTATATATTTTTATATAGCCAATTATCTGCCACCAAACCACTTTTCCTAGTGAGGGTCCTGGCCATTTTACATTATAATTTATCTATCATGATTATTTATCTATTTAGTTGTCTGCAAGACCAGCATCTTCTTCCAGTAAGCCTCACTTCTATTTCAGAAAAGAGAGAACAAGAACTGTGACCCCTAGAGAGGAACAAACTATGCAGAGTGCATTGAGAAACCTAAATGTGTAAAGTAGAGGACGAAACGTGCAATCTAGAAATTTCCTTCCTTGTAGCAATGATTGCAGAAGAACAGACATGCATAAGAACACGGTTTGGGCCACTGACCGCTCAGAAAAGAGGGTAATGGTGGAACCACTCACAGATGGTCAGGTTGACAGGTGAGCTGGTCGGAGACACCTCCCCCGTCCTGCTGACATTGTACCAGCAAACGAAGTCGCCCTCATGCTGAGCCACAGCAGTGACGGAGTATAGAATGGTGTCAGTGGAAGTGAGTCTGTGAAACAGCAGGGCGGAGAGGGGCTGCTTGGGCTTCCCCAGGTTCAGGGTGAGGGGATATGGAGCTGTCTTCGGTGGGGTGCAGGCAATGACCACAACCGAGAAGAGCCTGATGTCTGTGCCATTTACCGGCTTGCTGAACGTCAGTGAAGGGGCGGCGAGGGGCCCTGTGGATGCAGAGGAGACACTCTCGCTGATGCTGGCCATACTGGATGTCATCACTCTAAATTCGTTTTACTGATTTAGGCGTAAAAATATATCAGATCTGTTTGAGCCAATATTCATGAAGGCCATGTTTTTATTTTGATGACATATCCCATTTTGATATCGAGAAAGGGATGATTATTTCAGTCTCAAGTTTCATCAAAAGACATAATAAAATGTTCCAGGTATGTGATCGTCCTCAGTGTAAAAGTGTTAAATCAGGGACGACAGAAGGCAGTAAAGACTCAAAATAGCCATCAAGATGTACGTTCATGATTTACTCTAATGAGTGTAAAAACACAGTCAGACACCAGCTGGCACTTAGAGCAGGATTTGGTTGTTTCTGTTTGCCATTTTGAATTGACAATGAGGTGCTGTCCTAAATAGATATTCTTATAACTGATATAATCAACACACTTACCTGCAGCTGAGATTATCCCAAAATACTGGACACACCACAGAGCACCACAAACTAAGCAAAGAAAGGAAGTCTATTATTCTTCAGCTGCTGGATGACTATGGCTAAACATAACATTCATTTGCAAGCTCAGGAATCTCTGCATTGTGGGTAAAATATCAAAGGCTGACCTGTAATGTGGAGAAAGGCTGCAGGATGCATGACTGAAGCACCTGAAGGATGGATGGGGGCTTGCTGGTCAGGCGAATGTCTGGCAGGAGTGAATCTGGACCTGAGTCTTCACAAGTTCTCCGCTAGGAGGAAGAGAACTCTGAAATGGGGAGGAGCCGTCCGTATTTCCTTCATTATGGAGGTTGGTTGGGTGGTGCTGGTTGCTACCATCCAGTTATTTCCTTCTACTTCCTCATTCTGGCCATAATTTACATTTTGAAGAAGTGTGAAATGGATGATGCACTTTACAAAGTATGAATTATTTCAGAAAAATGTCCGGATTTCAAAACACAGAAACATGAGTGTAAAATAGAGTACCTATTATTTACATAGGAATTAAATGGCTTGCTTGTCTACTGATTTATTTTAAAGGTGTACCAGGTAGCCAAGCAAATAACAATGCCGATCCATAACAAAGAAGGTCCCTGATTGGATTTACGTATGTAAACATCCAGCTGAATGAGCAGGAGGTACAATTTTAAGTTGTAAAGCCTTTTCAGCCTTGACCTTCCGCACAACCCGACCTTAGGATGAAATGTAAAATAGTTCAACTTTGATTGTTCAAATCAGCCAGAGTCCCCATACGCAAAATAAGATGATTTCTCAGCGTTTGCGATCAGAGAAGACTCAATTCAATGGAAGTTCACACTTAAGTCATTTGTTTAAAAGTGTGATTATGTGAAATGTAGCTAATGTAGGTTTTGAGTCACAGGAGTAGCTTACTCAAAGATTGCTAGTCTCCAGACACAAATCAGGGATTCCCCTCTGCGTCACCAGAGGTCCACATCCCCCCCATGAAAATCAGCTCCATGGTTACTGTTCATTGCTCTCACCAGTTCCTTGTGTCTGTGGTGCTACTCATTAATCCCAGTACGTATATCCTCCTGAGACCCAAGGAAAAAAATGTCCTTCAATTGTAGGTTATTTGTCTTTGGAGGAAATAAGACATCTTACAATTTAGATTTTTTCAAATTTATTCTTATTTTAATTTCACAGCATGTCCTCTTTAGTGCATAACAAGAATAAATACGTTTCCCAACATCTGTGAAAAAAAAATACAATGTCCACTACAATGGACATAAATGAATAGGTCAGGTCTCAGGAGGATATACATATACCTGAATATACCGGTTTTGTCCTTCGGTTCAGGGTAGGCAGGAGGGCAGGGGCTGGGAGTGCCTGAGAACCTCAATCAATGAAAGTGCCTCTACCTTGATGGTCCTAAAGTGCCTCTACCTTGATGGTCCTAGTGCCCTTTTTACCAAGGGGGACCCTCTCCCAGCTGGCAAAAAGTACCGGTCCCGTTTGGGCAGCTGTCCCTCAGAAAGTCTGGTACCCAGTGAAGTCTTACTTGCCTGGTCAGAACACTTCTGAGTTGGTGTTGAGTTTAACGCTTATTGTGTTTGATCCCAGAATGTATAAGCTGACAGTGTGTTTTGAATTTTGTTCATTACTAGTTCTCTTTTCCCTATTGCTCTTGACTCTAGACTGGTGTTTCATGTTTTTACCAATTTTGGACTATGACCGGGCCATTATCAATACCTGGAATAAGCTTCCTGTACACATCTCCTTGTATTACAAGAACATCAAAACTAACATCTTCTGAGGGTGTTCAATTAGCAGTGTCCTCAGTTGCAATTGAGCAAGTAGATTCTGTAATCAGATTTTTGAAGCATGCTGCAAATTTAGGGGGTGTTTGATGTCTAACCTGCTTGTCAGTAAATAACTGTATGGTGTAACACTAAGGTTTTTCTTTAAACAAAAGGTCTTGTCCTGCAGAAAGGTGTGAAAGTTGAACAACCACACACACAGACACACACGCACACAAACAAAGACACACATACACAGACACATAAAAAAACATTTATCAATTGTATCAAAGGTAGTTCACATTTTCACAGAGAAATTAATATGAAATTTAATTCCTTCATTACTGAGGCTGCAACATTTGCCAACAAATATGATTTCCTTTCATTTGAAATTTACATTGACATTAGAGCATGCAATTTTGCACTGTTGTCTTGTAAAAGACTTTTCGAAACCTATACAGGCTGAACATCCGGTAGCTAGGTGATTAGCTGTGGTCGGAAATTTTGATTCTCATGTTTTATGCGGTTTCAGCCATGTGTCTGTGGGCCCTATCTCAACTGAAAATACCTTGACTCTTATCTCTGTGGATGATCTGCAACACAGATGCACAGAAGAGTTACTCTGTGTTCCCTAAATATCCCAGGAACCTTAGTTTTGTGCTGTAATTAACAACTGCAACTCATTTATGCAGAAGGCACATAGGGAAAGAGGACAAACACAAGTCAGTTTAAGTCAGAAATAATTCCTGACAAACACGACGTGCAGAATACATAACATACAGCCATGAACTATAGGACAACATGTAGACTAACAAGGACAAGTGAATATATGAGTGTACATGCATACTATCTGTAAATAAACAATTACATTTTTATAGAATAAAACTATGCTACAACAGTTTCATTTACAGTTTATACACTTCATTTTCATGTAAAACAAAAGATTCATGTAAACTACAGTGTGAGTTTAAATCAGTGAATCAAAATATGTAATGGATGTAAATTACACGGTAGCCAGTTTTATTAGTTTTTAAATGCATTTTTTTAATGTTTTTTTTATTAGATCTGTGTGCTTCTTGTTTTGGGCTGACTGCGGCCTTGGTTGATATATATGGCCGTGTATATGACATCTTCATGTTCTTCCTACAAAAAAAAAATATATATATTTTAAAGAATAATAAAACAAACTATTAGTGACACAATGATGTCACTTAGTAAATAATAACTGAAGAGTGCAATTGTGGTGATCTATTCTAAAATGTTTAAAAGGCAATTTTAAAAAATGCTCTGTTTGGGGATGATTACTCTCTAAAGGGCGATGGATGGATGGATGGATGTATGTATGTATGTTCTACCCCCTTCACCACTGCAGCTCATGTTGAGGAGAATATATCATCAGACCCATGCCTAACATGCAACTCTTCCACATAGACATAAAACATAGCTGTACCAAACTCAACACAGAAACACATCATTTGCATTTAAATGCACAAGACAATATTTCCGTCCTGAGACGAGGGTCTCGCATAATAATCCCCTTCGTAGGCGAGCCGCTGTGATAATGACTCATCTTTTCTTACTATTTCATTTAATTTCCTTCTGCTTTTCCTGGTGCAGGTCATTATTTATCTTAGATCATACTTAACATGGAACAGAGATACAACAAAGGAAGCAAAAAAATCTACTTCAAAATAAAAAAAATCATCTGCATGAAAACAAGACTGTACATTATTGCCTCCATGATAGGAGGAAATTTAAGATCTGTTTATTATTGATAGCCAGCCCTGCAACTGTGCTCAAAATAAGCGGTTTGGAGAAGAATGGATTGACGCACAGTTTTCTTAACGCATCTGTGTTTTTGAGCTCAGTAAAAGACGCACTTTATACAGTATATGTCAAATTATGTACTTTAAACTTCCTCTCGCATTGAAAACCTGTGCTCAGACACAAGTTGTGTTTATGTCTAGGAAAGAACGAAAAGTTACACGAATTCTCACTGAATATAGAAAAACAACAGGAAAAACATTTTTGCTACAGAAGAAGCTGCTATGCTGCTGATTTAGCTTGACCAGCTGCTGGCTGATATTTTTAGCCAACTAAAAATACTAAAAACTATATACTAAATTTTGATTTGCCCCACTTGATTTTCTACAGCTATTTTTTCCCTGTTTGACACCTACGTGTAAATACAATTTTAATAAAATGATTTTGGCTTTACTGCCACATTGGTATGATTATGAAGGGGCATTACAAACTGTTGGCATAATTATGAATTATTTGTAATACCTGAACCGTTCCTTCCTTTTCATCCTGGTCATTTTGCTGACGGTCAGTTTCTTGGTTCTTGTCACCATCTAATGTCAAACAGGACAGAGTTATTTTTTATATTCACAGCCTGCATTTTAAGTTTGTTGTTTTTATAAGCTTTGCATTATGTGTTTGGCTAATAGAATGTGCATAAAAATTGTATAAAAATTTATAATTTTTTTTTTACTGTAGTACAACAACTGTAGGGAAAAATGGTTTGCGCTTGCTCAATAAGTTTTTTGTCCGGGTAAAAGCAGTGATCACAAAAACATCAACTGATAGTCGGTTTGATGTAAATGCCCCCATGTGTTGCTAAAATTCTTGCCTGGTCTTCGACAGAGGGTATAAAAATAAAAACCAGCAGAGGAGAGCAGGCCGACCACCAAAGCAGAGATTAGAGCGGTCACCACAGTCTTGGACAGATTCCCGGGGTCAGTGCACGCCGCTGGGTGATGTGGCACTGTGGTGAGTGGAGGGGTTGAATTTTCATTGAATTCTCAATAAAAAAGGGAAAAGGTTTCTGTATTAGCCATACCTACTGACAACACAACTGTGTATGTCTTGTGAATTTTACAAGATCATATTATTTCACATCATCACATATCATATATTTACCTGTAAGCGTAAGATTGTAAGAAGAACCTATAACCATGGAAACTTTGAAAAAATGTTCCGCACAGTAGAACAGTCCCAGGTCTGAAGCAGTAATGTTGCAAATCTTTAGGCTGGACAAATTACTGGTTGTGTCATGTACAATAGAAAAACGTTTGTCATAGCCTATGAAGTATCTGTCAATGTTATTTTCCTTAGTCAGTATAATGAAAGGAACCTCGCCCCAGCGCTGTCCAAGCCACACAACTGTGCTATTCAAGAAAATCAGATCGCAGTCCAGTACAACTGTTTCCCCAACACTGACTGCTCTGACAGCCGAGTGGACCAAGTTGTCTTGACCTGAAGAAACAGAGGCAGAGGTGAACAGATACCAAGCAACCAATGAAACACCCCAGCAGATGCATTTCAAAGGTCCTGAATCAAATATACAAATAAACAGAGCTGCAAAATAAGTACTTACAACACAACGCAAAGACCACAATGAGTCTCTCCATGATGACAACTGCTGTCACTCAGTGTTTCATGCTGGAAATTTAGTGAGGTGGAAATTGCCTTATAAGGGCAATAACAAAGCTTTTGATCACATGTGCACTCTATTCTGCTCAGACATGAAACTCAATTGACATTTAGGTGGTTGTGATCAGAGGCTGCTTAGCCAACACAACAGTGCTGGGTCTACATTTAGCACATGGCACCGTGGTTTGACTGCGCTGCACAACCCGCATTCATCAGCAGGTTTAGTTTTGTGGTCCCACAAAGTTTAACTTGTTCTTGGTTTGCAGGGAGCTGTTGATATGTTTGTAGACTGGAACACACATATTCACCTGCTGCTTTATTTCTATCCTCAACCTAATATCTGAAATTTAACATACACAACCCAGTTCAAGTTTCCCATTTGGCACCTACAGTGTTTATGATTTATGAAATCATTTAAATGAAACTCCTACTTTATTATTTGCCATTTCTGCAAGTATGAGTACAAGTCCATTGGAATGCTACTCTTCGCCTACCCCACATCGCTCTCCATGAGGCACACAGACACATATACAGGTGAGCACAAGTCTGGGGGTCGCAGTGCAGGGTCAAACTGCGTGCAGCACACCTTGAGCTGGGGATTAACCGCCTCGCTCAAGGGCCCACGGACATGTGACTGTACTGCGTCAGGAACTGGCAATCATCCAATCACAGGCAAAGAGGCTTCGGCCACAGAGCCAATCACTTTGTTGTTATTCAGAAAAAAAAAGTGAAAGCTAAAATGTTTACAGACAGGAACACACATATTCACCTGCTTTATTCTTAATAAAGGTATGACTAATGTATTTATGTTTAAGTTTAGATAACTTGTGGATTTAAGCTAAATCAAAGCAAAAATACATGCTGAAACTCACAACTTTATTTGGCTTGTGCTTTTGAACCTCAGATATGTTTCAGCTTATATTTGTTGTCACAAAGTGAGCTAGTTACCATCCTGTGGGTCAACAGTAGGGCCGTCGTGTGGATTTGGAGTGAGAGTTGGGTTACCTGTTTACAAAAAGCAGCATACCATCAGTCATCCCAGATGTCAATAAGTAGGCCTATAATAGAAATGATTAATTTAGGATATTTTTTAAGAATGTATTTAAGATATGATTTACTGATGGCAAGTTAAATTTAATCACAAGTGTAACTCAGGTTATTTGGGATCCCCTGCTTTGCCCCAACACAGTAACAAACAGCCAAAGTCATGCGGCTTCATTACAATTATAGGGGCAAGATTGACATCTATTGGTAGATTTTAGTACTGCATGAAAGTGAAATATTTGTACTTTTTCCAAGGTCTGCACTGTTTTAAATTTTTTTGTTTGTTAGTTTCCAGCATTACTGAGAAGTAAATGACAAACGAGTGAGGAGAATCTAGACGCAAGAAGCAAGCAGATACAAAAGATACAAAACCAGTAGGTGACACTTTGAAAAGCTGACATATATTCATAAATACAGCCTAGTAGTCGTGGATCATATTCGAATCCTTCACCTTTGAACTTCTTTCACTCTGATCACAGAGAGGCAACAGAGCCTTTCAGTCAAGCAAACCAGGGGCAAATGCATCAGTGGCTACACCGCCTGTTAATCGCTCGCACAACTGTTGTTTCCTACCCCAAGTATGTCTTGACTGTACCGCAAAGCTACTGCATCAAAACAATGGCAGTAATATGCTGGCTTAAAGGGCGGGAGCTTTATCTGTTTGTGTGTATCCCCATGACCCACAAGAGGGAAAAGAAAGTTCTCAGTTTAAAGTTCAGACGCTATAATCGTTTCATGCGTAAATGCTAAAATAAAAATGTTATTTGTAAACCTATAGAGTGCATACTTATTAAGTTATTAATGGTTCATGGTTGAGATTAGTTGACAATGATTTTAACAGTTAAAAACAAATTTTAAAAAACATCATGTCCCACCAACTGTTACTCCAGATTATAAATGCGAACAGAATGTAGGTGTCTCTTTCTACAGTTTTCTGCAGCACCTATTTATGCAGAATAATGTCTGTTGAATTGGCTGTGGTCTCCCGCCCCCCGACACCCCTCATTCCCCCTCTGCCTGCGTTGATATTCAGCGAGGCAGGTTGGAGGCTGGGGCCGGATGAATGGCGCAGTGTTCCGGACATGAATGTGGCTGCCCTGATGGACAGGCGCGCCCATTCACACAACCTAACGCGCACTTCTGCACCCTTGAATGGGGGGCAGTGCTTAGAGGCAAGCTAGATAGGGCTGGGAAAAAATAAGACTTTTTTCTCTCTCAGGTTGCTTCTTTATAATCACTGTGGGCCACCTCCACCAACTGTCCATTTATTTCGGCATCCACTCCGTCAACACGCGTTTATTTAACAGGGAAGTACCGCCCTGCTCTTCGATATTTTGAGGGAGGGAAAGGAGAGTATCTCATGCCTTGTCCACACATACATGGGTATTTTTTAAAACGTACCTTTTTCCTATACGCCTTGGGCTTTTGTCCACACGTAAACGGCGTCTTAGGTCACTGAAAACGGAGCTTTTGCAAAACTCCATCCAGGGTGAAGATTTTAAGAAACTCCGTCTTCAGCGTCGACATGTAGACAGGGAAAACAGAGTTTTTGGCTCAAAACGTCAGATTGTGCGCCGTTGTCCACTTTGTTTAACGTCAGAGCGTGCGCTGTTTGCTGTATACATTAGTGGTGTGCGATACTACAAGATTTGGTATCGATCCGATACCTAGTAAATATAGGGCAAGTATATCGCCGATACGATACCGATATCGATACTTTTTAATAATTAAGGTGGATGCATCATTAAATTGCTAAAGCTGAATTAATTTTCATTACCATTAAATGTTTTTGTGATTTTTTTTATTAATTGGTTAAAACCCAGGACAGAATTTGGGCAAAGTTTATGAGTAAATAAATACTGTAGCGCGGAGGTACCGGCGGGCAGCGCCTCATGTTGGACTGATGTCAGCTTGTGAATAGTTCTCAGTAATCTCTTGTGTGATTCTAAATGTGCTTTGTATAGCGGTTATTGCCGTTAATGTTTATTGTTGTACGTAGTGTATGTGCATGTATGCGTGCGCCCACCGTGTGTATGAGGAGTCAACGGGCAATGAGCACGGTGGGCAGTGCGAGTGTGTGTGATTGCAGTGTTATGGGCGTAATAAACGGCATATGGTGATTAAACCCCGAACTGTCTTTGCTGTTCAATTATTGTGAGCATGGCTCAGCAACCCACTATTACAATACTTTATTATAAATATTATAGGGTGACCAGATAATCCATGTCAGGGAGGACACATTGAGCTAGGACAGGATTTGTAAAATACCATTTCAATTAAAAGGACCTGGATCTCAGTTAAGCACCGAATTCTTGCTGTGTGCTGATTGATCAGTCTCCTATAATCATGCATATGCCACTAATGTTAATGTGTAACAGCTGGATGAGTTTTTCAATCAAACCAGTCAAAGCACAAGAAGAAGTGAGCTATTTAGCCAAACACAGGTGCCTTTCAGTTTTAAAGTAGTTTGTAAAACCTGGAGTAGCTTAAAGTGTCCTCCCTGACATGGATTATCTGGTCAGCCTAAAATATTATATTGTGCGCGCGCGCGCGCGAGCAGGTGAGCTTGTCTGCTTGCCTGGCGCCGCTGAGTCACGTGACAGTCGGGTGCGGCAATAGAGAGCAGCAGCGCGAACACAGACAGCCGCAGTGCATCCAGGAGTGAAACTGAAGTATCGATCTCATTAAACTGGTATTGATCAATATCAACATTATTATCGATACTTGGATCGATTCGCCCACCACTAGTGACAAGCAAAGGTACAAATCTTTACCCTTTTTTTCTGAGAGTGTGGGGGAAATGCTCTCACCCTAATCCCCACTCCTCTGAGGCAGGCCCTCCATGGACAACTGGATCCACAACCAAGGTACAAGTGGAGAAGGGCAGTTAAGTTGCCAGTCTGGACCTCAGTCAACTTCTATGTCCCATCCCTTGATGTCAAGATGGTCTCAGCTGCATGGTTTTCAACTCTGGGGTTGCAGAGACTCAGGGAATGATTTTGTCAGGTTGCCTAGAGGACTTCAAAACAAGCCAGGAACCATACTAGGGGTTTGCTGATATTGATAACTCTATGTCTTAGGCCAGACTTGAACACAGGATCTCCAGATTCATACCCTCTTGCCTTGACCAACATGCCACCAGATCAGGTGAGGCGACCTGCATGGTAGTGGGCTTGAAGAGCTCCCCCAGAACGTCTTAGCCAAAATGGTCAATAAGAGGATTGTCCACAAACCATTGCGGCATGGGGAACAGAGACTCACCCATAGGGGGGCTTCATTATCATCATGAAAAAATGTATATGCACAAAAAATCGGACTTATCAAACCCAGTGTACACACATTTCCCCTTAGAAATGTCAGAACTGTCTTGTGAATATGTGTATGATGCACGAGCCTGAGATCCTGCCCAGTTGACCATAGATGGTAAATCCAAATTATATGCGTGGTTATATAATATGCAAACCACCCCTTTCTGGTTGTTATAAATAATTTTGTTTTTGGTATTTATTGGGCTATAACTGATGCAATTATGGCTGTTACTCCATTTTATTTAATATAGCTATGTATTTCAAGTACAGTAGTACCTCAGAACTCCAGATCGTATCCTAAAAAGTTCGAGTTCTGATCGAATTTTCCCCGTAAGAAATAATGGAAAACCAATTAATTGGTTCCTGGCCCCAAAAATTACACCTATATATATATTTTTTTGGCATTTAAACACAAAATGAACCAGATAAAACAAGAAGAGCATATACTGTACTAAACACATCTAAGCACATTTAATAAAAACAGTAATTTGTAAAGTAAGAAAATAAATGTATCCAAACAATGTGTCCTGCCCTGATCGTCAGCTCCTTCCGTGTGCCACGCCCCCTCGTTAACCCCGTGTGGAATCCCCTTGTGATCGGCTGTTTCTGGTTGTTGTCATTAGTCCTCTGTATTTCGTCCGCGTTTCAGTTTGTTTCCCCAGTCCGGTCATTATATTGTCCGTCTGCGTTTTGCCTGCCTTACTTGTAATTAAACCCGTATTCCCCGATACCCTCACGTCTGCGCCTTTGTCTCCGTTCTGTCCCGCTCGGCACAACAATATTATTATAATTAAAGTTATTAATGGTTTATTATCAATATTAAAATAATGAATAAGAAATCTTTATTTTTAAATGTATTTTATTATATAATAATAATTACTGTTACTGTCTGTCATTGTCTAAATGTATTTTTACTGTCTAAATATACTGTATGAATTCAGTTAGTGTAAACATGCATGGTGCTATCACAGCTAATGCGAGGCTGAGACTGAAGCTTTACCCTTTGTTTCGTGCTGAGAGATGGTTTGACTTCTGAGATTCAGATCGAGCTCTAGGTAATTTTTTTCGAACTGGTTGGTTTGACTTTTAAGAAATTCAAGTTCTAATGAGTTCGAGAACTGAGGTACCACTGTATTCTATTTTCGTATGTACAGTACGTAAAATATTAACTTGAAAATTTGTATTTCAGGTTATTAGGCTAGGTGTGATGTACAAAGGACCCTTTATGAAATGTAAATGTGCAGATGTTGCATTGTTGTGTGATTACAAGCTGGAGGAACTGCTGAGGAGTTTGATAGCACTAGGGAGTAAGCAGGACTTGAAGTGTGTTGTTTCTGTGGTGCGCTATCTGTTGTCTGCCTGAAGGAAGCAACAGAAGCAGATCACACACAGGATGTGAGAGGGCCTCCGTAATCCTTTTGGCACTTTTAGTGGTACGTTGGATGGAAAAACATTCAGTTGACAGAAGGGCAGCACCAGAGATCTTTGAGGCACTTGTGACAGTTTCGCTGCAGGCTTTTCTTAGTGACGGAATCTGTTCCACCAGATCAAACTGTAATAGAACATGTCAGGATGAAGGTGTAGAATTGTACAAGATGATGATGACAGGACAACATTGCCTGAGGAAATGGACTCTGATTTGCCTTCTTGATGAGGTGTTCCAAGTGTATCTGCCATTTTGGAAGCACGTAGAAGTCTATTATTGTTATTTGCTGACCATTGGTATCGAGTCGGGATTTGTTGTTCAGTGAGTCCCTGAATCTGGTGTAGGTTTAACACCACATCCCTTCTGTCTTTATGTACCTGTAGGCCTTCCTCTTTTAAGGTCAGCATGGCAGCATAGATGCCTCATACCTCCAGGGGGGTGACAGCATCAGCCCCCCAGTTGCACCCCCTGGGAAACACAAGGGCTAGCTGGGCCAGTCCTGTGAATCAGCGCAAGGGGAGCACTTCCTGCAGCAGCTGTCATCTTTGTCAGGCCGGTGAGACCCGATAGAAACAGTTATGGCAGCAGGTTGCCAAATTCCAGAGGCAGCAGGCCCTGCTGACTCCCTACCACATCGTGTCTATGCAATTTCCAACCCAGATCTGGTAAACCCCTCCCCATTTGCCCCAACCGCACCAAAGCTACGATCAGTCGTTTTCATTGGTTAATGTTGTGCCAATTAAACATTGTTTTTCAAACTTGATGGCTGATAACTGCTCTCAGGTAATTTGGCTTCTAATGGGTTGTTTTTACCCTGAGATGTGCCAAGTGTACTTTACATCAACTTTGTGTAGATGTGTAATAAAGAGATAGTGATACTTGATGCTTATAATTTCCGTATTCTATGACTATTATTATTATTATCATTCAATTTTTACTGTCATTCACACAATGAGCGGGCACATGTGTAAATGAAAAGAGAGTCATGGCTTCACCATGCCACACGTAGGGGGCAGGGGAGGTGGAGGGAGGGAATATACATAGATTGGACATACGAAGCAGCGAGTAGTTTTAAGAGGCTCAATGTCACAGTGGGCCTGCGTTCATAGTGGGGTACCGCAGGGTTCAATTTTAGGACCACTTTTGTTCCTAATTTGCATAAATGATATAGACACCAATATATACAGTAAACTGGTGAAATTTGCAGATGACACCAAGGTGGGTGGTGTAGCAGATACTGAACTAGCGGCTCAGCAGCTACAGCGGGATCTTAATTTAATTAGTGACTGGGCTGACACCTGGCAGATGAAATTTAACATAGACAAATGTAAGGTACTCCATGTAGGGAGCAGAAATATAAAGTACAGGTATTTTATGGGACCTACTGAAATAAAGGTAGCTGATTATGAGAAAGACCTTGGTGTGTATGTTGATGCTTCCATGTCTCATTCTCGCCAGTGCGGGGAAGCAATAAAAAAGGCCAATAGGATGTTGGGGTATATCTCCAGGTGTGTGGAGTTTAAGTCAAGGGAGGTAATGCTAAGATTATACAATTCCTTGGTGAGACCTCACCTAGAATATTGTGTACAGGTTTGGTCACCATATCTTAAAAAGGACATAGCGGCCTTAGAAAAGGTGCAGCGTAGGGCC